TGGCTTTTTTTTTTTTTTTTTTTAAGCTGCTCTTTCATTACAGCCACAGGGGTATGTTTGCTCATGAAAGTTGGCTTCGCTCCAGTGGTTCAGTTAGTGGCCAGGCCATGATGGCCCTGGGGCTCCCTGGGGCCTTCCTCCCAAAGCGTGCTTGGTGACACTTTCCATCCCCACCCTTCTCTCCCAGCTTTAGGCCCCCCCACAAACAAAGATTAAAATGTCCATATTTCCCTAATGGGACATCTTGTTCCTGGGAATTTCTAGGAACCGGAGAATTCAGATGAACCACAGCATTAAAACCAATGCAAATGATTTGACTAGCTAAATACTACATATGTTTATTCAAATCTGTTACCCTTACATGCAACTGAAAATAAGGCTACAGAAGAGTTAGCCAGAGTTTCACCAGATGGTGGTCTGCACAAGCTCACGCAGGCCTTGACCCTTCTGGGTAGAATGGAACACTTGGGACCCCAGATGCTGACTTCAGCCCTTGCCCAGCTGGTGCACAGGAGAGGGGAAGACTGCTCTGCAGGCACCAGATAGATAAACAAGGTGCCTTCTGTCCAGGAGGGGTGTCACATAAACACAAGGTGGTCAGCAGGCCCACTGTTCCAAGTCAATGAGTGTCAGCCACTCCTGACTAAGAGCCACATTGTGGAACATTTAGTGATACCCTGAGTATGAATAGATTTCATTGGAATTGCTCTCTTTCCTTGGATTTAGTTGGAATTTGATCCCTCTCCAGAAGGGGTGGCTTCAGAAGAGAAAAGGATTACAAGGTTAGTTTTTCTAACCTCAGTTGCCTCATCTGTAAAACAAGGATGGATAGTAATGCCCCATTCAGGATTCCAATGAGTGGTCCTAGAATGATGCAGCCTGTGTACTCTCAGCCTCCATATAGACATTGGTGTCTACCTTGGAAGCTGTTCTTGATGTAAGGAAACCAAATGGGTAGCATTAATAGCACAAACAACAGACATCCTTGCCATTGAAAAGACCAGAGCAAGCCCTCTGATGGTGCCAAGACAGTTGGAGATAGCCTGCCCAGTCCTTGGTCTTGTTCTGCCACAGCCCAGCTGTTAAGGCAGAGCAAAGCACTGAGAGCACCTTGCCTCTCAGGAGTGAAACAATAGGAGCCCTGCCTTGAGGCCAGGTAGCTCAGCCAGGAAACTCAAGAGTCCCTGGAAGAGGCTCCCCAACTTGAAACAATATAATTTTGATCTGATTTCTCCATAGGAACAAAGTGATAGTCAGAGATTATATTATTTTCCAGTGGCCCAGTTTACAGTGTTCTCTAGGATTGCCCATAAATACCCCCATTTAACTGACTTTTGAAGCTATTGCTGTATGATATTCAGTAGGAAGCTGTTTGTGTTTAATAACTTTGTGATGCTATAAAAAAAATCTCCCATCTCCAAAACTTTAATCAGTTATTCATTTACCAGCGCAGGGGAAGGAACTTTCAGGAAAAGATTGAGTGGGAGCCTGAGAGGAGCAGAGAGCAGTGGCAGGATTGGGCTCTTCCTGAAGCACAAAAGGAAAGGATCCTCTTTGTCTAATGTCTCTGTGAGGGCAGAAGCTGTGTCCATTCTACCCATTTATTCTTTGCTTGCTATACCAAGTACCAGTAGCACTCATTTAAAAATGTTTTCCAGCTGGGCGTGGTGACACACCTATAATCAATCCCAGCAATTTGGGAGGCTGAGGCAGGAAGATTGCAAGTTTGAGACAGACTCAGCAACTTAGAGAGACCCTAAGAAAGTTAGCAGACTCTGTCTTAAATAATAAAAAGAACTGGGGTTGTGGCTCTGTGGTTTATTGCCCATGGGTTCAATCCCTCATACCCCCTCCCCCTGCCAAAAATAAAAAGTGTCACATACTAGTTCCCACCTGCTCAGAGGCTGAATCTGAGACTGAGGCAGGAGGATCACTAGAACCCAGGAGTTACTGGCTGTATTTGTCATGTCTGCCGTGGAACTCCTGGGCTCAAGTGATCTTTTAAAATGAATGAATGAATGAATAGATAAATAAATAAATAAATAAATGGTCTTGCATGGACTTTGCAAAGCCTGGGACCTGCAAGATTCCCCAGTGGAAGGCAGCAGGGAGCTGTGAGAGTGAGAAGGCCCCACAGTGAAGAAGCAGGGCAGAGCAGACGTCAGAACACTGCATAAAGCCAGAGCTGGCAAGCATGAATTGGGGATTGCTAACTGTTTTTATCTTTTTTCTGTTATATTTTGTTCTTCTTACTAGCTTGCTGTTTTAAATCCTGATTAAAATTCAGTCGAGAAGGGAAAAAGTCCCCCGTATTCTAGGTGCCAGCTTTCTCACCACTTTGAGAGGGACCTACCCAGGCTTTTTATAAATATAGCCTGACTGTGGACTATTTGCTTATGGTCACACGGGGTGGGAGCAGTGACTGGTCAAGGTCCCATCTGTGTGACCTGTTTGCAGTTACAGGAAAACTTGCTCAGGCCTTGGAAAGTTTGTGCCCTGGAGGTTGAGGAGAATGCTTGGCATTGTTCTCACGCAAGCAGCACATTTAGAAAATCCTGAGGGTGCAGCCTGGAAACCACAGGCCACTCAGAAAAGGTGTCATGTTCACATTCTGGAGGCTGAGAACAGCCACCAACTGGAGGGGCAACCCAGATCAATGTGTTGCAGGGGAATGAAATTTGCAACCAACTCACTGGGCACTGGGCACTGTTTGGGGTGAGGTTGCCCACAACCTTACGTTCATTTCAGATGCTGGCCTGGGAGCATAGAAAGGGGCTAGGCCAGGTGGCTGGGTGGGGTGGGTAACACCCCCGAGGAGGAGATCTGAGGCCTCTCCTTGGGTGGGGCAGCAGTACTGAGGAGTCTGAGGAAGAGACAGCTAGTCCAGGAATGTGTTGAACTGAGGTTGCCCAAGGCCAGGACAAGGCAAGGCCACCCTGCCCTGCCACATGCGTCCTCCTCCCAATTTCCTGTACTGTTAGGGCTTCTTTTTCCCTGTGGCAATCCTCTGTTGGCTATCACCAACCTTTGTGTCTTACCTTGATACTAGAGTGTGGCAGAAGTGCCTGGGGGCAGAATCAAAAAAGAGCTGATCCCTGAAGCCCTACCTAGACCCACTCAGTCAAAACCCTTGACACTCAGTGACCAGAATTGAGGAGAGGTGGGCAGAACAGTCAGGTAAAGGAATTCCAATTCATGGTCTGTATGACCCCCCCCCCAGGCTAAAATAATAGCAGTTGCATTTAATGAGAGTGGCTTGGTCCTGTGCTAACCCTTTGGTATGCATCAGTGAATGAATCCCAGAAAGCATTTTGTGGTGATTAGTAGTATTTTTATGTTACAACTGAGAAAACTTGAGCATGGTGGCACATGCATGTAATGAGGCAGGAGAATCACAAGTTCAAGAGCAGCCTGGGCAACGTAGCATGACCCTGTCCCAGAAAAAAAAAGAGGGGGGGCTGTAGATGTAGCTCAGTGGAAGAGCAGCCCTGAGTATGCAAAAACAAAACAACAACCTCAAAAAATCTTGGGCTCATGAACGTGAAACAGTCTGCCCACTTCCACCTGTCTGGGAAGTGGCAGAGGCAGGGTGCAGTCCCAGGAATGTGAAGCTGATTTCAAAGTTTTGCACCCAATTAAAAGCAGTTTTATTTGTGCACCTGACCCAGTGCTTCCTCCAACCTCAGAGGGTGCAACCTCAGAGATCCTTGAACTTAGTCCTTGAGGACATCATAATCTGGTGAAACTCAGTGTTGGAGTACCATAATGCCCACGTGGTGGACAGCATGGAGCCTGTAGCTTGCTGATGTTTTTTGCAGCCTGACTGGTCTAAGCCTTCCTGCAGCTGCAGGTCCTGCTGAGGTTGAGTCAGCCTGGGTTTGCTGCTGGCGCCACAGCGTCCTAAGACTGCTGAGCCCTTGCCTAGTGCCGGCAAGACACACCTACTGTCCACCTGCTCCTGTGAGTCATAAACTACCACACTGCTGCTAGGCCTGCCAGCTCTGTCTTTTCCTCCATTCACCATCATGCCAAGAGAAAACTTAACCATATATGGCAGGGGCACCAGGCAGCTCTTGTCCCAGGCCTGCCTTCCTCATGAAATGTGCCACTAGAAACCAGGCAGGTCAAAGCTCAAAGGCCAGCCTGTTTCCATTGTTTAACATCAGGTATCTGGGGAGAGGACAACAGAGCAGCCTGGAACTCAAGGGCTCAGACAAAAAGAGGAGAGTCAATCCCAGCCAAACATATAGGGAAGGGGAAGATAATAGGATTAGCAAACCCTTGGCCACCAGGATGAGGCCAGAGAGATGTCAAAGGAAGGAATGATAAAGCTTCATTGATTATTTCAGACTTCCAGCTGCTCATGCGTCTCAGTTGACATTTACTGTGGATCTGTCATTGAGTCTTTCAGCCAAAAGTTTACCACTTTTTCTTGAATAAAGACTGCTTACCTGCCTAACATTCTGGAAACATTTGCACATATTGATAGCACCTGAAAATGTGATTTTGTGCAGAGGTCTCTGGAGAGGCCTTCTCACTGTTTTCTCTTGCCAGGACTTGCATCAGCCTAATAGTTGGGTAAGAGAACTCAAAAGAAATAAACTCAGTTTCTGTTAGAGTATGTAGTAGTTGTATTAAATTGACATGTAACGTGGCCTCTGGTGGCCAAAGGCCCCTTAACTACTGCAAATATTGATATTTGTTTCTTCCTAGAAAATTCTTTAAAAGGCCGCCCTTATGCTATATGTTGGGTTTCATTGATTAAACTGCTGCTCTGGGTTTCTGCAAACCAAAAATTTATGTTGACACTCAAATGGATGACAAGCTGGAACATCTAAGCCACCACTGGGATTGCTCAGGGCATTTTAGTAACTGCCTCGAAGAGGCTGTGCTGATGGGCAGATGCATCCATTTTCCTTCAAGTAACACACATTTTCTATGAATGTTTAAATAACCTAAAGATGAATGTTATTCACTATTTGAAAAAAATTTTTTTTCAGATTTCAGGGAAGAACAACCATTGAAGATGTCCAGCAAAACAGCAAGCACCAACAACATAGCCCAGGCGAGGAGAACCGTGCAGCAGCTGAGACTAGAAGCTTCCATTGAAAGGATAAAGGTAAGGAGCCCAAGGGACAGAATCATGCCTGCTGTGGTCCCTGCTGCTCTTCCAAGACTGGGAAATGAGTCAGAGAAGAGGGTGCCATTTAATCCAACTTGCTTCCAGGATTTTCCTAGAGCAGGTCAAGGGCCTCACAATATTAATTTTTATTACCTACCTAGCCCAGGCCTCATTAAAAAAAAAAAAATGTGGAATCAGAGTCTGAGTTGACCCCTGTTTACAAAATCCTGCACAGGATTTGCAGAGGACCTGCCTTCCCTAAATGAAAGGGGTCAAGTCTTATGATTGCTGTGTTCTAAATTGGGACAGGGAGGGGTTTCAGGGGGATTTCTAAAATACCCTCCTCATCCATCTGGAGTTTATCAAGTGTTCTAGGGTATCAGTGTATCTGAGGGTGCCTTAAAGTCAACAATCGGGGTCTTCCTTTTAGGAAAACATAGCTTTTTAAATGTGCACCTTTTGGTGACCATTTTCTACCCCCAGGATGAAGGCAGGTCCCACTGAGGAGCTGGAATGCATTTCTTAGATCACATGACTTTGAAGTCTTTCCCTGCTTGGTTCCAAGAGAGGACTCGGCAGTGAGAACCCTGGAATGTGGTGACTAAGGCTGTTTCCTAGGAACAGAAGCAGTCACCTGATAAATTCCTCTGAACTGGATATGGTCACCTGTCCTCAAAGCAGCAGGCTGCCAGTGCAGAGCTCCGTAGAGCCAGCTCCACCACACTCAGTGGCCTGGGTGCCTGACCTGATTATTACCTGGGGTCTTCCACCCAGGTTTCTGAAAACAGGGTATGACATATTCCAAGCCTAACTTAAGCTGGAGAGGGGCACAGCATTTTCCTATGCTGGTTTTGCCCTTTGTATCTCCCCAAACCTAATAGATAACAATAAATCTTTCCTTTTATTCTGCCTGCCCCCATTCGAGGGACAGAACCTAGGGCTTCACACATACTAAGCCAGCACTCACCACTGAGCAACATCCCCAGCCCTCTGACAGTAAATATTGAAGCTCTACAACTTGGCTTCAGAGTTCTGGCTTCAAGCCAATAATTCAGTTCTGTTCTGCTTCCAATCTGTTTTTACCTGGATAAGAACTGATAGAACCTTCCCTTGATTCACAAACTTTTCCTTCCCTGATAGATCCCACAATTTTGATTCTGAAAAATTTCAAAACTAAAGAAGACTTGTAACACTAAACATTCATAATCTCTTCACCAGAATTTGCCAGTTCTTAACATTTCAGCATGTTTGCTTATATCATCCCCCCCTATCCACACATATAATTTTTTCTGTAAGCCAGTTGAAACTTATTTGCATTTCTAATAGTAATATCTAACACGTGATCCATTTTTTAAGAACCCAGTCCACTCATTTTTCAAAATCACCCCTACTTGGGTTATGCTCCTTTGCTGATCAGATTAAGTATTTTGGCAGGAATACCAACTAGCTGGCTGGTGTGGTATTCTCAGTGCTCACGTGTAGGGACAACCATGCCAGCTTGTCTGATCACTTGGCTAGGGAAAACCATCCCTGCCAGGAACCATATCCCTTTGCACTTGACTAGTTGTATGAGAATGATGTCTAAGGCTGCTTATCCTGTTTGAATCAGTCTCCACCCCATGGCTTAGCATTCAGTACACTCTGGAGGGTTCTGAATAAAGGATTTTCGTCCTTATTTGTTGCTTTGGTTTGTCTCCTCAGGTCTCAAAGGCCTCTGCAGACCTCATGTCCTACTGTGAGGAGCACGCCAGGAGTGACCCTTTGCTGACAGGCATACCGACTTCAGAAAACCCTTTTAAGGATAAGAAAACCTGCATCATCTTATAGTGGAAGAATGGAACCGTTCCTCGCCTCTTCCCAACAAAGCAAATCCTGAGCGGCTCCTTGAAGAGATTTGCCTCCAGCTTATTTGGTAACCACTGCTAATAACTAAAATGCTCTTCTCTTGGAATAATGGACTCTAAAGTCTTTATTTTCCAAGTTGCCCTTTCTTTAAAATACCCTTTACTGATTTAATACAGAATAACAATCTTTGTTTTCCATTTGATAACTATGGTATTTCTTTGGGTTATTGTTTAAGGAGAGTTGGCCTGGGCCTTCTTAAAAACACAATTATATATTTCATGTATTCAGTTGATTCAGATATGTTAAGACTTAAAATGTCTAAGCACCTGTCAAATTAAAATGCCAAGAATAACTTCAGTCCTGAAACCTTTATATCATATTCTGCTCTTAATAAGGTTTGTGCCAACCTGTATAGTGTACAAGGGAAAGGGGTGTATTTTGTATATGTATATCTTCGTATGTACACATATCAAAGCTTATTTCCTCATCAAAGCTCCCCTCTCCATGTAACAGCAGTTCCTCAACTCCAGAAGTTGTATTTATCTTGAGCTGTGTAGGTAGAATAAAAATTCTTTTCATATAGTTATTGTGCAAAAAATAAAGAAAAAGCATCCTAAAGATTGTATTCATTGTGATCAGGTGATATGTCATCTCTCCTCTCTTGAAACTTGCTGGACCTCTTAGGTGATGATGAACCATGCCAATTAAAAACTGAAACTGAACTGAAAGCTCTTTGATAAGGTATTAATTCATAGGGACCCTTTTGGGCTTCGGCCATCTTGAGTCTAGAAAAGGGGAGGGGACCCTTGGAGGAGGACTGTAGCAGCTGTGCTTTCCTGGGGAAGACACCTCTGAAATTTCTGCCCCGGTGATTAAAATAAGAGAGTGATCAGTGAGCCTGACCAGGGGGAGCAGAAACATGTAAAAACCAACTGCTCTTCTCAGGCCAGCTTTGCAATTTGTCCCCCTCTTCCTCTCCATTAGCCTCCCCTGTATTCTCCCTCTGCTGCTAGAGTATTTTCAGAGGTGACATTCCCCTCCCCAGACCCAGAAAGATGAGACTTGGTGGGAAAGAAATAGACTTAAAACATTAAGGTGTCAGGACTCATGCTCTCCTCAGATGTCTGCAGTTTCAACCCTGCCTGTCCACAGACCCTCCAAGGGAAACTGCAAGCTTCCCAGGAGGGGCTTGGACTCAGCGGTACACTCCTTGGACCATAGGGTCCCAGCTGCTGGACATGGAGTTTCTCAGCCTTCCTCTGAGAAGATAGGACATATGTCCTCAAGATGTCCATGGGGAAGCCAAAGGCATGCATCTCCTGGCCAAAGGGGCATCATGACTTTATCAGAGAGGAAGGAAGGCTCCTTTTTAATTAGGGGATACTAATACTGAGGATATGACACTTTAGTCCACTTTCAGCTCATTAAAAAGAACTACTAATAAAGGGTTAAAAACTTAATCACAGAGGATTCAACCCTGAGAAAGAATTATTTACGATGATTTCCTTACTTATGTACAATCTGCCCTGAAAAGCATAGCCTTTTAAAATCCAATGCTCTGGGCTTGAACATCATGCTCATTGGTGGTGGGTGAGCAAATACAGTCCTGTTACTCAGCACTGTGAACTGACCCTGTGAAAGTCACGGCACTGCCCTCAACCTTTTGTCACCTACTGCTTGGTTCTGTGAAATACTCAGTCCCAAGTAAATTACAGGCACCTGCATAGGAGAGAAAGCTTTTGCCTTTCAAAAGGTGAAATTGGAAATGTACACTAAGACAACAACTTCACATCTTATGCTTCACTTAATGAGACATTCTTTTTTTTATAAGTATATTTTTCTACGGATAGTTTCAGAACACTGAGTTTATTTTCACTCTAATTTTTAACATGTTTCTTTAAATATTTATAACACAGCTTACTACAGAATCTTTTCATGAAATCACTCTTATTATACCATTTTGTGCACATTATTAGCAGCCAGCATAGTTTATTCTTTAGCATTAAAACAGTCTTTTGCCTAACGGTAAACAAGCATGTTTTGCTATATATTTGTTAATTTGTTTGTTATAGTAAGAAATGGGCTTGAGTTCCCAGGAGATTTCATTTTATTTTTACCAGTCAGATAGAATAAAGGCTATGAGTATAAATGTCATGTAATTTCCTAAACAGGTGTAGGGCATGCTCATAAAAAAGAAAATGGAATCAAATTGTCCTTTGATGCTGACACAAGAGGGGGGGAAATTGTAACCACATGTTGATTTACTTATAACTAGATAACTATGTGAGGAAAATATAATATATGTATACATATATATGATATGCAGAAGTCACTTTTATTTATCGGGTCTGTTCTACTTGTGAAGCCACAGTTAAACCGTCTCCAGCAGTTGGTTTGTGATAATGGTAGATGCCAATGTGTGTTATTTTTTTCTGCTACCACTGTAATGACACACTTAAATATATACAGGCAGCTTCTTGGCTTCATTCCCATTGAACTATTTAAATACACTCAATATACTTTGTCTGTAATGCTGCTTCTGTGAACAGTGATCTTGTTCCTTTTTCATTCCTATATTTTCATTAGTTCATCATAAATCTGTCCAGTTGAGGTCTCATCACCATGGCAAGATAGGCTAGGCCAAACATAAGATTCCAAAATATTTTACAAAAACACTTTTTTTTTTTTAATAGAGAAATACTTTCTATATAAGGTGGTTCACAATTTATGGGTTGTGACTAAATACTTTTTTCCTTTTCTAAGAAAAATTTCAGGTTTTTAAATTCCTTACCTTATTAAAGTGAAAAGTACCTTACTTTTTAAAGGAAAGGCCTGCTTTTTGCAGGCTCCATGTTTGGACTATGTGTCTATTTTACTAATCTTTAAACTATCAGGAAAAAAAAACAAACAACTTTGTACCAACAATTCGGTAATTTTGAGGCAATTTTCATAGTGGAAGAAGTGCCAATTTTCTCTTCAGATGCTGACTTTTCAACCAATTTATAACTAAGATAGTACCCTCTGATTCCTCTGAATTTTTATTTAAGATATATACAGGCCCAAGAAGTAAATAACAACCATACATGTCAGGCGTTTCTTGGTGAAATGAACGTAATACCAGAGTATAGTATGAATTGTACTGATCTATTTATTTCATGATAATAGATCAATAGGAAAAGATACCTTAAATCAAATAGAGTTATCTAAGTGTATCAAAATAGAGCACTGACCTAAAGTCGGGGCCTGTATTTTAGCCCTCAGTCATTTTCTAGCCTATCCTGTTATCATCTTACTTTGGACAAGGCAGTTCATCTCTCTGGGCCTCCATTTTCCCATTTGTAAAACAAGGGGCTGGCAGCAGACAACCCCTGAGATCCCTTCCTGTCCCAGATGCCTTGGTTCAACACCACTGCCCCTCTGCTGGTCCTGCCAATGTGTTGGTGCTACACGCTACTTCAAATAGAAACTGGGTTTGTCTATAACGTGTGCTCCCTTGATAGCTTATGAAAGGCCTTTTTGTTATACAGTGCTTTTCCCCCTAGTTTTACTGTAATGATGTTTCTAGCTATTTTCTTGATGTCTCAGTAAATTTGCATTTGATATATTGTTGGTGAGATTGTGTTGTTTTGTAACGTTCTTTGGCTACTCATCTGTCCAGCATCTTATTAACCTTAACACTGTGATCATTGTTTAAAATATGTTCTGTGGAAAGAATAAAAGCATTTACTTCACAGCTAGCATGTTCACAGATTTGAAAGAAAGTTCATTAAAAAGCACTGTTGCTTTCTTTACTGAGTCAGTGCCTCGCATCGTTTTGCTGGTGTTTGCTCAATATTAATAAAAGACCTTTTCTCTTCATTCATTCAGTTAATTTTTTTGAACACCTGTTGGGATGTGGGTCAGGCTGGTGACATGAAGACAAACAAGACTCACAGCAACCCAAGAACATGAGTCTGGAGCAAAGAGGGTTGGATTGACAGACACACACACACACTCATGACAGCGCCATCTGAGAAGTGCCGGGACTCGTGAGCACAGGTGCTGAGAGCCCAAGAGAAAGAGGGACCAGCTCCAAACCAGAGAGCCTTCTGAGAAGGCTTCCAAGGGAGGGCATTATGAACTGGGGCTTGAGAGAGGCAGAAGAAACACTGTGTGCATTGGCATGAAATCTTGGGAGATAAGAGGCAAAAGTGGCCACAAGCTAGTGTGCAGAAGGTCTCCCATATACTACCTATCCAGTAAGCAACAAGGAGACCGAAGAGGTTGTTAAGAGTGAAGCTGTGATTCCTCATGCCTGGAAGGCTGTTTCCCATCCTGAGACCCAGCTGTGACCATGGAAACTGATAACAAATGGAAAGGTCATTAGACTTCTGGTGACTCATATTCACCAACTGCTTGCAGAAGGTGCCCTGCCTCCTCCTCTGACCTTCCCCCTGGGCTGGGTTTCCCACAGAGAAAGGGAAGGCAACATCTTCCAAAAAGGAAAGAAAAGGGAGGCAGCCAAAGAGCACCAGATCATGAACTGATCAAGCTAGAAAGACAGCCCATCTCTGAGAACCAGTACACTCGTGCAAAGAGTGGCAACAGGTGGGCACAGCAACTCAGGCCTGTAATCCCAGCTACTCAGGAAAGGAGGATCACAAGTTCAAGGCCAGTCTGGGCAATTTAGCCAGACCCTATATCAAAATAAAAAGGACTGTGAGTGTAGCTTAATGGTAGAGTACCCTGGGTGCAATCTCCACTACTGTAAAAAAGAAAAAAAAAAGTATAAACAAAAGATGGTCACTCAACCCATTCTAGTAAAGGACTGAAGAAGAATTTATATACTATGTTTATGAGAACTAGGCAACAATTTTTACAAGCACTCTCATCAGTTCTGACCAAATTCTTAAGAGTAGAAGACAACTGTATTGGGGGTGGTGGATAGGATTGGATAGAAAAGTTTTTAGAAAGATAGAAGCCAGGGGCGGGGCCTCTGGTGTAATCAGGAGACTGGGACAGGAGGATTGCAAGAAAAAGGTCAGTCTGGGCAGCTTAACAAGACCTTGTCTCAAAATAAAAAATAAATAGTGGCAGCATGTAGCTTAGTGGTAGAGCATCACTGGGTTTAATCCCCAGTTCCAAAAACAAAAAGGGGGATGGATGGTGATGAGATGGCAGAGGTGTGTAAGGAAATACGGCAGGTGAAATGTGCACTGCCTTAATGTTACAAGTAAGAAATAAGCCAGCAGGTAGAGATGGCTGCTTAGTGTTGTGACTCCTGTCATATAGCCTTTCAACTCTTGTGGACATGGATCATCATAACTTTTCATTGGCAAGGTCAGTGACAAATAAGTGTATGGGTAGCACTATAAGCCTTTTGGGGGGACCAAGTAGACAGTCTTTTAGTCCTTTTCCCTCCTTGTCCATGCCCACCTTTGCTGTCTTTTAGCTTAAGCTCTGACCATGTTTTTAAGACCTGGTCCCACTGTCAGCTTCAGCCATCTGCACAACCTGGCATAGCCTTCTCCTGTAGCTGACTTGCAAAACTTGGCTCTACCTGCTACTCCACCCTTTCCCACTGCAAGAAGCAAATGACCTTTGCCTTCAGATGAACCTTCTGTTACTCCAATGGCTGTCCTCTTATCTGAGCCATTCAAATCTATTAAGGCCATTTAGCTATCAGCCAGCCCTGGGCAAACATGAGCTATAATCCAAGGAACCCTCACTTCATCTGTCATTTTTTTCAGAACCAAATTTTTTCTTTTCCCTGGAGGAAAGTACAGTCCAAATAAATTTATGGTAAAAGTACTGGTAACTTAATATATCAATCTGTAGACCATTGGCACAATAAAAGAGAACTATGGAGGAGCAAACAATGCTCAACACAAAGGAATGGGAATTCATAGCAAAGTTTCAGGCATCATTGAGAATATTATATATGAAGCATCCTTATACCCTCTAATTCCTTCCAAACAGTCTATACTGTTTTGGAAGCAAGAAACTGAAATGATTGAGATACATGATAATATGATGCCAGTCTTGATAGTCTGAGAAATTTGCAGCTAGACATTATGTGCAAGTTGCTACTTCTGGCCTCTCAACTCATTACTCCCCACCCTCTGCCCCACTTCTGTATACACACACATATGCATACTGCTTAGTGATAAGAGGGAGAGATTCATTCACTAGGAGAGCTTACATCTCTGATCCTAGAGGATATTAACCATGTAAAATAATAAGGGCCCTGTGGATTCACATATTTGTGTCTGGAACAGGGATGAAACAGTCACTCCTAGAACAAATGTAGAAATAGTACTTCCTCTGAGCCAGGTACTGACAAACTGGGTCAGTAGTGTTCCCTAGGATCCAAGTAGGGACATTCTTAAAATTGGCATGTAAGATTTAGGTAATACACAAGTATGTGTCTATATGTGTGTGTTGGGAATTTAACCCAGGACTATATGCATGCTAAATGCATGCTAAGTACACACTCTACCACTAAGCTATACTTCCAACCATAGATTATTTTTTTTTAGCTTACTAGTTGTATAATTTTATATATACAACTAGTAAGCTAAAAATATATATATATTAAAAATATATATATATATTTAAAAAAAACTAGAAGCCAGATAGGATGGTGCGTGGCTATAGTACCAGAGACTCAGGAGGATGAGGCAGGAGGATCATAAGTTTGAGTCCACTCTCAGCAACTTAGCAAGACCTTGCCTCAAATTAAAAAATAAAAAGGACTTGGGATTTAGCCCAATGCTAGAGTACCCTGGGTTCAATCGTCAGTACTGCCAAACTAAAGAAGGAAAAGAAAAAATCTAGAACTAGTACAACTTGTGATAAGTTTCTGCCTAAGATGGACTTAAATAAAAAGGAAACTAATAAACATTTTCTTTTAAACATAAATAGTACAGCTTGTACTTAAATGAGACAAAAATTATATAGAAGCCTTACATTATATCAGAAAACCAACATCCCTTCTGAGAACAGTACCCAAGAATTGCCCATTAGAATGCACAGGTTCACATTTCTATGTTTAACTTTGAAAGCTTTCCTCATAGCCAGTGCATTAGAAATGATTTGTTCTAAATGTGCTTCTGGCGACATTTCAATATGGGCTGTACAACCTGTCGATATTCATAGACATTTGCGCAAGGCGTTGGAGTGAAGTCCAGACACCAGGCAGGCATTTTGCATGTGACCACTCATTGAAGCCCCACAGCTGTTAAACAAAGAGAAATCAATGTGATGTGATTTTAACATGCTCAGAAAAATAAAGTTGTGCCCGATTCTACAATTAAAAAATGTAGATCCTAAGTTCATACACCTGTGTATATATCGGCCAGATTCCCATTGGTTGTCTTCATGCATGATTTGAATAGGGAGGAAAAAAATGAAATAACTTTGGAAAGTTTAAAATCAATCAAGTAAGGTAAGTTGAACAAACAAGTTCTTTAATAATCAAGTTTTTTCATAATCAAGAACGTAACATCTTGGGCCAGGCACATGCCTATAATCCCAGGAACTGAGAGGCTAAGGCAGGATTGCAAGTTCAAAGTCAGCCTCAGCAATTTAGCATGGCCCTAAGCAACTTAATGAAACTCTGTCTCAAAATAAAAAGGGCTAAGGATGTGGCTCGGTGGTTAAGTGCCCCTGGGTTCAATTCCAAGGACCAAAAAAAAAAAAAAAAAGTAATGTGTTTACTAGTAAAAATAAACAGTAATGTACTCCAGGCATTAACTATGACCAGGTACTGTGTTTAGCATTTTGCATCTATTAACTCATGTAAGTCTCACCACAAATCCAGGAGGGAGCTACTATTATTATCCCTACTTTACACACAAGGAAAGAGAATCTCTTTTGGAGAGATCCAAAAGCATATATGCTTTTCCAAGAAACCTGAATCTTTCATCATAGTCAGTATGATTTAAGAGAAAGAAAACATACAGTCCCCCTTTTGTGCCTGGCAGATATGTTCCAAGACCCCAGTGGTTTCCTGAACTACAGATAATACCAAACCCTCTATTTAAAATGTTTTTTCTATACATAAATATCTATTATAAATTCATGTTAGGCACAGTAAGAGATTCATAATAGCAATTAATAATAAAACAAGGTGCTTACAGTGCAAATATTAATACTAAAATAAAAATGAAATTATAAACTGCTTATTTCTGGAATTTTCCATTTAATATTTTCTAACCTTGATTGAAACCTTGGACAAAGGGGCACTAATGTACCTTAAAAATAGGAAATATATGTTCTGGTCCAATTGCCACTGATTTTCTGTGTGACCTGAGGACATTCAAGACTTCCAGTTTTGCTTCCTTGTCTATTAATAAGGATTCAGTCTAGGTGATACTTAATGTTTCTTGCAATTCTAAATTTCTACATAAATCTGAGGAGGGAGAACAACTCGTTTTTCAGTTTGGGTTTTTTTTTTCTTTTTTTCTTTTTTTCATCTCTATTGTAAGCCATTTCACATTTTCCTCATTGAATTGAAAATCAGGAGAAAAACCAAAGTCCAGGGTATGAAGTCAGAGAAGGGTATGTGGGTTTGCTGTGTGTAATTAGAGGTATTTAAAAGATATTTAAAGAATCATTTCCTGATACTTCAGCTACTGACTTCTCAGCAGGACTGGAAAGAATTTTATTTTTTTCAGTGCTGGAGATTGAACCCAGGGCCTTGTGCATGCTCGGCCAGCGCTCTACCACTGAGCTACACCCTCAGTCCTGGGGAAGATCTTTTAAGGAAAAATGAATTGTAGAAAGTTGACTATCAACATGTTGTAACTTACAGAATTAAATGAGGAAAGTTCTTCAGGAAACTAAAGTATCAGCATCTTATAAGTTTGTGAAACATA